GGGCCTGGCAGGCCATCCATTTGAGCCGTTTAAGTCTGTCAGATAACTTTGAAACCTTAAGCAGTTTTTTGGTAATCCTATCCTCTCTTAGAGGACTGAGGATCTGCAGGCTCTGTCAGCTCCTCTTGTATGGACTTTGCCCCCAGGCTGGTTAAGTCTTACAGCTTCCTAGGCCTAGTTAATCCTAAAGGCTGCTTTGACTCCGCTTTGCTTTCATCAAGTGGTTGGAGGCTTTCTCCCCTGCTATGTGGGGTTAGATAGTGACTATACCTCTAGCCTTACGCTTCCAGCTCTTATTTCGTGTACTGCTTTTAGGCGCAGACTGTAGGAGTCCTGTAGCGGATGTTTGTCATGCATTCAAGAGAGCAATGGCTTCTTCTCAGGCTCTCTTTAAAGGGCCTTTGATGGCAGATGTCTGTGCTGTGGCAGGTTAGTCCTCGCCTAGCACTTTCATCAAGTTCTACTTGTCTGGACGTGAGGATGGCTCTTGGCTCCCGGGTCTCTTCCGCTTGAGCAGACTCTTTCCTCGGTCTTCCAGCTATCTTAGGTACGTCAGGCGTGATGGTATAGCGTTCCCAAAGCGATGACGTCATCACAGCATTGAACTTACCTATGAGAGGGAACATCTCGGTGAATTGGCGTGATGGTATAAGGGCTTCAGACATTCCTCACACCGGAGGTGTTCCCAAAGCGATGACGTCATCGCAGCATCTCGTTCCCTATTCAGGGAACCAAGGTTACATACGTAACCGAGATGTTTTCGTCAAGGGAAGGGGCGTGTCCCTGGCGGCCTGACAAAGTTTGATGTTTGATTAACATACTAAAACATGCTAGCAACACTTAGCTAATTTGTTCAAGTATGCTATTAATACAAAGAAACAGGAAGTTGCTGTAACTCATGTATACAATGTCCAATCTGCCCCAAACTTAACATGTTTGATAAGAGTCCTGGCCTGAAGACATCTACATGCCCGTATTCTCTTATAGTCATAGCACCACCTACTGGCAACAGGAAGTGACATGTTTAACACTGTGATGGACTATAAGCAACACATTAAAATGAGCCATTGAGTGCTAAACATGCTAGAAACATGATCAAACATACTAGCAACACTTACTAAGTGCTAAAGCATGCTAGTAATACCATGAAACAGGAAGTTGTTGTAACTCATGCATACAATGTCCGATCTGCCCATAAACTTCACATGTTAGATAAGAGTCCTGGCCTGAAAACATTTACATGCAAATATTCAGTTATAATCATAGTGCCACCTGCTGGCAACAGGAAATGTCTTGTTTTACACTAACTTAAAACATGCAATGTCGGATCTGCACCAGACTTCGCATGTTTGATAAGAGTCCTGGCCAGAACACATCTTAAGGCCAATATTCAGTTATAATCATAGTGCCACCTGCTGGCAACAGGATATGTCATGCTTTACACTGACTCAAACATACCATGTTCAATCTGTACCAGACTTCGCATGTTTGATAAAAGTCCTGGCCTGAAGACATCTACATGCCAACGTTATAATCATAGCGCCACCAGCTGGCAGCAGGAAGTTTGACACATATAAATGACTTTGACATATTGCTCCTATATTTACCACTTTAAATGCATAATGCCCACCGTTTGCTTTTTTCCTAAAGCCACCGGGTGGCGGTGAGCCCAGGTGCGAGGGCCCTTTCATTGCTGCTTGCAGCTTTAATTTATGCATTGTATCTGTGTTCTAGATTCATCTATTTTAATTATATCAGATGCTTTACAGTTAAGTTCTTTGACACTTGAGTTCTCATTTGCACATTTTTGAAAATGACTAGACATTTTCTTATCCATATCAGTACTTACTGACAGCAGTGAATTTGTGGCGGAATCCAGGCCTTTATTGGGCACAGCAGCAGAGACGACAGCCCCTGAAGGACAGAGTCACCTGACACCTGCTGGTCACAACCTCGTAAGGCAGGCCATTTCCTGTAATAGAGCAACAGTTCACATGAATGTGAGGGAAACAGAGTGGAGCCTAATAACAAGGTCTCGGCGTGTCATAATAACATTTCAGTGTTATATCGACTCAAGGTCAGTATCATTGAAGCTTCTATCTGTAGGCCTACTTCCCCTTTCAGCAGCTGCAGATTCATTCTCCCACTCTCTCTTTCTTAACTCTTTCTTTCCCTCTCTTAATGACCATGTCAGTGAAGCTGACAGAATGAAATTGATCATACATAAAGACTGAGAGATATATTACCATATTATTCTATCATTTTCTCCATAAACTTGTCATCACAACCTTGTGACATCCAACAAAAACAGAATTGCCAGATATAAACTCTGAATTGCAAAAATAAAAGTCCGAATTCTGAGTTTAGATCTCACAATCCTGACAAGAAATTGCGAGTTTGATGCTGGGCTGTAATGCTGGAATTTCATGAGGTCTGGAATGGGATTAGTGTTTTTAACAAGCGAGTTTAATGAGAGGTTTAGCAAGTCAGTCAGTGAACAGAGTCGCCACGAAACCTTTCTGACCTTCTTTGTGAGGTCAGTATTGTTACATTTATTGATTGTACTGTTTATTCATTTGTACTGCATATTAATTTGTAGGGTACAATGGGGCTAAAGGCCCACCTTAAGAAAAAAAGTGCTATTCACTACGCCTAAAATGTATAATTGCAGAAAAAATCTATACGTTGTATTGGACATTAATGGCGCAACAGATTTTGTGTGAAAATAAAACCCAAGTTGTTTATTTTGTTTAAAAATCGTATAAATGTATGAGGTGGCAAGGGGGGCCTTTTACCCCACACACGGGGTAAAATGCACACCAGCATGGGGTAAAAGGCACACGGTATTGATACAAATACTTCAGCTAAAATAATGTTTTTTTAAATAATGTCTAAGTTAATACTTGTTCAAAACAATCACTTTAGCAAGGTTTGTGCTATTTTCTGCTTATTTTGAAAAATAGAATTAATTTTTGTTCAATAAATATACTGTCATTAAAATATGTGAATATAAAAAATATATTTTACAATACAGAAACAAAATAATTTTAATAAGTAAAGATTCTGAAAGTATTGAAGGAGATCCAATAATAATTCAATATATATTTACAGTAGTAGCAACAAATTATATTTTATTATATGACATGATTAATATCATGTTTTTCAATATGATGGTTTCATTCTAAACATGGTGATTATCTAATATGGTAATAATTTTAATACCCAACATATATGATATTTACCATCTGAATCTAACCATGTCATGTCGACAAATGGAAAAGTCAGCCATCTATTAATTATCGATCATGTTAATTACTGTGCGCCTTTAGCCCCAACAGCAGGGGCGCTAAATACCATACT